TATATATATATATATCCTGGCTAGCTGGAGAGTGTCCTGGGACATTTTTGTATTGCATTGTCCTATACACCTTTTCTTTTTACATTGATCTAAGTGACTGTCATTCTTGTTTTGCATAATTTGGTGCAGATACACTCTACTTCCTAGCTGCTTGAGTTCTGTCGGGCTTCTGGTGTTCTGCAGTACACAGGAAGAAGTGGCTGTCTCCAGGTAAGACTGTTTTAAATACAGTATATGCATTGCTATATATGTCCTATAGTTAAAAAACAGTTAATTGAGAGTGTATAAAAGGGGGAGATGCACTCCAGAGATAAATCTTCCATATGCTGTTTAATCCATGGGCATAAGCTGTACACTGACACACAACTTTATGCTCTCATGCCTTCCACCATTATGGCTTGATCACAGAGCCATGGCTGGCTCATGGATTAAACAGCGTATGGAAGATTTATCTTTGGAGTGCGGCTCTCCCTTTTTTACACTTGGATTTAGTGCCTGTCAAGGCCAACTAGATTTTTCATAACATCAACCACCTATAAACCACATTTCTTCAATAATACAAATACTAGATTAACCCTTCTATTCTGTACATTCTCCATTTCATGGCACAGATCAGGTAAATAGGGACAAATTATGTGCCTTAGGGTTTATGACTGGTGCCTGTTTCTGACATTTGTCTGTGTCACTGCAGAAGCTGGGCTTTCTACTTTTCTATCTCTGCCACTCATCTCCTGCAATCTAGATGAAATTCTCCTGTCAGATGACATTAACTATTACCTATGAGATATTCTGTTGACCTTTTTTATAACCCAAAGGCCAGATAAAATATTTGCTAGTATCAGGTCATAAACATATTTCTGTATAACTGTAAGCAGTTTGATTATTAATGCATTCATTATATTTTCAAATGAGCTATAATTTCTGAATTATTCCTGCTGTTGGAGATAGACATGCAATACTTACTAAGGTTATGATTGTCTTTTTTCTGCCTCTCTTTGGCCATTGCTCGTGTATCTGTGTCTAACACAAATGTCAGAATTAATACAGGAAGCTTAAGCATACATTATATGACTGGTATGTAAACATTATTTCAGATGTGGTTTAACAATGATCCTCCACATGTGTAAGTTGTAGTGATCTATTTTGTTATATAATGTAAGAGTTTCTGTGCAAAGTACAACAATGACATACAAATACCAACCATTCAGATGTTAGTTTACTCTAGTGAGCTCTGTGAAAAGTACATTGAATTGGTTGCTATAGGTTTTTTGGACTTTCCCCTTTTTGAATAAGCATGCTAATTTGTTAACGCAGTCATGTGTGGCCTTAAAAGTAACATTTTTAATTTGCAATGTGCAATAGAAAGGGGAAAATTGATGATTGAAAATACATATGAAAACCTTTTCCTTGTGCAAGCTAAAATTACATACATGGTGTAATGGCCAAATCAAGCTGTAAAGGACCAGGTTAGTTCTGACTGTCAACAAACAAGTGTTGCAGCAGCATAAAGGCATGTGTCATACATTGCAGATACTTTGCATTTGTCACCTGCAGAAGAAGTATGCCATGTATTAGTCCTGCTGAATCTGTAAAAAAGACAACATGTGGCTAGGTTGCCATGAGCTGGGGTGTAAGCCACTATGTGAAGTCTGTATAACTCTTACTGTGAGTGTTAATTTCAGTAAATTTCTTGTAAATATTACCCTCTGCCTTTGTTATGTGGTTCGTGGGAAAGGGAAAACCACTAAATTGACATGGGCTGAATCTTTGCCTGATTGCCTTTACAGAGTTTAGCATAACATTCATATGGTAGTGAGACAGCTGAGGAGCCTGGAGGCAAGGTGGGACCTCATCTCAGGCCTCTTCTTATAGTTAGACGCATGGTTTTTGCTCTTCCTTATGATAAGGGAAATGTGCTGTATTAAAGTATTAGAAAGAAAAAGCAACATAAATGCTCTGTATTGCAATGGTGTGGGAGACAAATGGTGGTTATATACTGTATGTCTCAATATATTCAACCATTGCATAACATAATATGATGATAACAACTTGCAATATTCATGTTAGGTTTTTGGAGGCTAGGTTCCTTTTAAGCAGAACTCTCTGTACATAAGTGTCAGGGTACCAGGGGTCTTACCACTCCTCAGGGCAGCGGAGGGCACGGGTTCCCCTTCCTGGCAGGATTCCTGGCGCCAGGGTTGCGGGTGCGAATGTGCGGCAGGTGCCCATGCGTGGTGGACAGGTTGCGTGCCCGTAGTGCGTCTGCGCCCATTACTGGTGTCAGGTGTGATCTTTGTTGGGGGAGATTCCCAGCACACACCCTCTGCCTTTCTCTTGTCATTGGCCTGGATGGAGAAGCTTCCTGGTTGCCTCGGCAGCCAGGGAGTGGTCTTAGTTCCCCACTGGGTATAAAAGCCCAGTCAGAGCCCTGGCTCATTGCTGAGTTATTTTATCCGTATGGTGTGATCTCCCAGCTCCCTGTGCCTTGAACCGTCTCGCTTCCTGACCCTTTGCTTGGACTCCCTATTACCGACCCTTTGGCCTGCCCTTCCGTTTCTGAACCTAGCTGCTTGCCTCGACCCGGATTGGACCTGACTACTCTTCTTGGATTTCCCCTGTGTACCTTGACCTGGGACTTTGGCTTGCCGCCCCTGCCAAGGGGTTTGCACTCACGGCTCAGCTGTACTCCCCTGACAATAAGTCTCAGTGAGAGATCAGCCCAGCTATGGCAGACCCATGAATGTTAGTGTAATGGGACTCTTAGGAGCACTGGTTTAGGTGAATTGTGTAATATTGCAGACTGTCCTGTAAGGAACAATTGACAATTAGATTAAACATACCATGTTTTATGTTCTACTTCAATATACATATAAAAAAATAGCTGAGGGTTTCCACTTGGGTGTGCCGTCACATTAGTATGGCAATAGAACTGAGTATGACACAATGACAGGTCAGTATCAATAAGCCTTAAACCTTATTTATAAGGCAAGAATATGTGCAAAAATTGAGAATGGTAGTGTTTTGCTTTTCTCTGCTATCCCTCAAAAAACACCCCCCAAAATAACACAACTCCCTCTAGGATAACAATTCCATTCAATATAAATGCAAAAATAATTGGATATGGGGAAAAACATTGTTTTTTTCTGGCAGATAGTCAGACTTATGGTTATTTTCCTTACAGAAAGTGTATTTAACCATTCTGTAGTAGCTCTGGCTTCTTGCATTCCCTAGTTCAATTCTAATCAGATTTCCTAAATATTTCTACGGAAAGAACTCGTGTTTCAATTCCATGACATTAATAAACAGTAAAGGGTTTTAGAATGCTGAGTACTAATTGAATGTAACTTTTCAAGCTGTTAATCTGTTAATATAGATACTTATTGAATGGTTTTTTTGTAAGCTCTAAAAAGCCATTTGTTCTATCATGAAACACATTTAATAGGAGATAATTAATTTATGCAGTTGATCTGAAGCCAACATTTGAAAGAATCTTGTGTTTCCCAAAATAATTTGATTTGAAAAATGCATGATGTTCATAATGAGCACAAGGGAGCTTTTGTTCATACGTTTCTAAACTAAGAGCACAGAATAAACATGCTTGTTGATCTTTGTTCTGTCTTTACTAAAATAGTTGGTTTCCAAAATTACATGAGCAGCTGTGATTTTAAGATTTGTATCATTCATGTGCAAAAAGCACTGCTTTGATGGTACTGTGTACTACTGTATAGAGCATTAATTTTATTAGGACCTAAAGGGAGCATGTCATAATATATTACATATGAAAGCAGCCATTGCTGATGTGTTTTAAAATCTACAAGTACATTGCTGACGTGTTTTAAAACCAATAAGTTCCCAGAACCTTATCCTTATCCTCTATTTTCATATGCTGTGACCCAGAACAAGTATTTTGGTTTGGTGTTTTGTCTAGTATTGAAGTAGTAACTAAGAACTAAATAATGAAACTAGAAGATAAGGATGGCATCTCAGAAACCTGTAGGTCTTTAAATGGAAAATTAAGCCCTTTTCTTACCATGCCAGGTTTCCTATCATGAATATCAAATGCAATTCTAGGCAATTGTTTCCAATTTTGTTTGAAATGAAAACTATATGCACCATTGTAAGAAGCAATAATTTATGTATTGGTACAGTTACAATGAATATTACAGAAGCCATATTGTTTCTTTGCATATTCAAGGGTCTAACATGGGTCAGTGATATAGCTGAAAACTTGTTTCATTCACCAGATACAAATTACAGCAGCTTGCTATGTCACAGGAGGACAATAGCTACAAAACATGTGGATTTTAAAATGAAACTCCAGCCATATCTTAAAATAGGAGTGCTTTTAAATAAAGCAGGTATGGCTTAAACTCAAAATTCAAAAGGGGGCAAACACAGATCCACAAATTGTAGCCGGGATAGAGTGCTGCTAGAGAATTTCCAGAGAATAACAGAAGTTAGCAACAGACTTCACCTAAAACAGAATATTACTTTTGGGGGCCCCTTAAAAACATGTTTCAGCCACCAATTCTTACAGAGCCAATATTAGCAAACAAGATCAAATTCAGATCACCGAGGATTCTGTTCACCTAAAGTGTATGTACAGTGAAATCCCCTATTGAGATTGTATTTCTGCCTGTTCCCTACTAGGTAGATTTAGCCTCCCTAGTTGTCCTGGTGACCATTGTCACCTGGACAGAAAGTGATGGAACATCAAATATTTTACATTTTTCACTGGATCAAGAGTTAAGGGTAAAGCTGCCAACCGGGACATTTGTTCTGGTGACAGCTGTCTAGAGGGGAATTACCCTCACATTGAAAAGATTTTTTCTCACATCCTTTTGCATCTTTTCTAGGCAGGGGGTTAAGAGAAATCTCCCCAATAAGATGTACACATCAATAATATAAACTTTTCAGACTTTAACTTTTCATTATCTATTTAAAAAAAAAAAAACCTTTGCTAAATTTAAACTTTAATGCAGCTAATATGCAAGTGAATTTCAATTTTAACAAACTTTTTTGAATTAGCCACTAAATATTGTTTTGCTGATCATCTCTGCACTGGATGAAGCCAGAAGAAAGTAGGATTTCATCTCTTGCGGTTTCTGGGCTGTCATTTCCAAGCCATTATGGCCAGGGTTTAAGCTAATCATGCATGATCTGTGCTTTATTAGCTTCATTGGACTGAAAAGGTGACATTAGGGACCTAATAAACCCCTAATGGCTCCTTAAAGATAATCTGTCACCTCCAATGTGGTATCACATGGGGGATTGTTAGCCCCCTATGAGAAAGCAAAAAATGTTAAGTAAAAAAAAAGTTAAATGAAATCATAATTAAATAACCTCCCAAAAACATTTTAAATCCTCCTGCCATGTGTTGCGTGTGCCTATGTATGAAAATGATGATTGCTGTACATGTTAGTTTTTACCAGGCATACTGGAGTAAGAGAAACAATGTAAAGGTCATCATTCAGGGTTATCTCTACATTGATGACCTGTAAAGGTTATTAAAACATCATCTATGGACAATTTTTGGAACCAAAGTTTTTCGCCATTTTACGGACACAATTTTGAAACTCGACATGTTCAGTATCTATTAACTCGATGTAATCTCATCTTTTATATTTTACTAGAACATGTGGTATTATATTGTGTTTGTGTGCACTAAAATAATTTTTAACTGAAAATGTAGGCTTCATAAACGGTTGTGCTAATATTGCCTAATATTTTTTACCTTAAATGTGCATTTTAACATGTGTGCAAAAAAAGCAAAAACAGCTTGGGCAGCGAAGAGGTTAATAACAAATATTAATTTTAGTAGATGTAAAAAAAATCTCCTTTAGCATATTTAATAGTAAAGTAAATATAGTAATGATGGGGTGCAGAGTGCACTACCACAAAGATTTGGGATCACTATAATCAGGTCAAGACAGATGGACCATGATTATTATTATTATTTTTTGTTATTATTATTATTATTGTACTGGATTTATATAGCGCCAACAGTTTGCGCAGCGCTTTACAATATAAGGAAGACATTACAGTTACAATACAAGTCAAGACAAGATGGTAAGGAGTCACTTGGATGGTAAGTACATCACTTGCATTGTTGGATAAATCTGCATCTGGGTCAGTGCATACGTTACCTGTAGCTTCTCTCTTTACACCAGCACTGCCTGTGCAAGATGTATTAGACAGCACCATGTTTGAACCTGAAATGCCTTGCTCAGTATTGTAAACATCCAAAATACTATTAGACAGGGAATGCTGAAAGAGAATAAAGAGAAAGAGGATGTGATGAGTGAGGGTGTCCATAAGAATATAAACAAATCCGGTTATCTCATTGTTATAACTCTTTCTTTCAATTTTGGTTCCATACAATTTAGTGAGGGAAATACTTGATAAGTAAACCTCATTTACTAGCTGTCACATACTGAATGTGCTGCCAAAATCAGATCCTCTATTTTATTCCTCCATACCATAATGGGACATTCTGATTTGTTGCTTAGTCAAAAAATGTCTGGCTGCTCTCAGCTGGATGCAATTGTGTAAATATAACAAAAATGTTGCCACACATATATACTGCATGCATTGGGGGGGGGCATTTGGGTGAAGGGAATCTGTCAAAATAATTTCTCTTTTAAAGCCCAGTTTCTTTTTTAGTTTTAAATACTCCTGAAGAGTAAATACATATGTCAGGTTTCCATGGGCATGACCTATTTGGTGAGATTTTACCTCACTTCCTGTGACAGTAAGACTAAAATAAACAGGAAGACACAGGGGGTGATTTACTAACCTAAACACACGCACGCACCAGGTACGTGGGATTTTCACACACCAAAACGTATTTATCAACCAAAAATCTCTAAAAGCATATTTTCACTAATGCCATATATGGAAAAATCATGCACATGATGCATATATAATGCTGCTTCACAGTTTAGGCAAAAATGGTTAGCTCATGCATTTACATTCCTGCATTCATCAACGCAAGCAACACAACATAGAGCTAATTTACACAACATCACCTTGCAATTCATGCTTGGCTTTGCACAACACACCTGCTGGGTGTGTACACACTACAAAGGTGTTTAGATTCCACCCATAGATCATGCTGGGAGGGAACACACTACAGAGGTGTATACATGTTCGTGGTGTGTTTATAAGGTTAGTAAATCAACCCCACAGGCAGCAATAATGACCCAAATGTGGTTATAATTCTTCCTCACTGAATTAAAACCATGTTGTTTTTTCTTTCTCTGTTGGAGACATTTCCCGTTACTTTACAATCTGACAAGTGAGGAGACATTGTATTACAGAGGTGACAAAAAAAACCCAGGGGAAACCCTTACCCTTCCCCACTATGAGCAAAACAAAATAAAACATTTTAACTAAAAGGTGGGCTTTAAGAGATATTTCACTGGCTGCTGTTGGTGGCTATTGCTATTATATTGCAGCACCACAATTAACCTTTCTCCACCTTTGCTGTTAAGTAATGGTAATTACTTGCTGGTAAGTAATGTACTGTAGGTAATCATCAGTTGCTCCTATTTGTAAATGTCATAATATACAGACCTAGATATATAAAGGTGCATTGGTGCATTCATATTTATTTTGTTGACACTAATTGCCTGACAAGGCAGCTTAATTTATTTACACTATTAAATATATACTGTAAAATGTTACAGATTATGATAATAAGCCCAATACCACGTTACTGACTAAGGCAAACTAAACATGCAATGATGTACAGAGTGCAGTAACTTATAGCATCCAATTTGTACCTTTAAATATCTGAAAAGCCATCAGAAAATGAACAAGATTTATTTTTTTGTTATACAAAAGGTGTTCTCTGTACTGAGTTTTGCTATTCAATTC